CTTGTCTGTAATAGAGTATCGGATTAGAGTATATATGTAAAATAGGGACTTACTTCTTCTTTGCTATACTTTCAGTGAACCAGCCTATGCTGCTACATTTATATATCATTTACCCTAATTGCCCACTAACCTGATGCATCAGAGGCGTTAACTGTGGGGCCTGTCAGTTAGCCACCAGAGCCTAAATACTCTCCATACTGGTCACTGGGGCCTTCGACGTTGCTGTCAGGGTCCTCCCCCTTTGTCGACGTCAGGGTCTACCTGCCATCACTGTCAGGGTCCCCTCCGTCGTCGCTGTCAGGGTCCTCCCTCTCCTCTGTCATCGCTGTCAGGGCCTGCCCACCGTCGCTGTCAGGGCCCCCTCCCGCCATCGCTGTCAGGGTCCTCTCTCCCCTCCGTCATCGCTGTCAGGGCCCTCCCCCCCTCGTTGTCGCTTCCTTCCCCTCCCTCGTCATCACCGTCAGGGTCTGCTCAACGTTGTGGGTCACTCGTCGTCGTCGCTGTCAGGCTCTTCGATTGCGTTTTCGATTTCGTTGTCACTGCTCACCCTTTCTGCCTCATCCTCTGCCTCATCCTCGTCATCATCATCGTCGACATCCATTCCGTCCTCCTCCCCCCCCCTCTTCTCTTCGTCATCTTCCTCTTCCTCCACATCCTGTAATGGCTGCTTCCAAATTGACTTGAAACTTTCATGGAGCTGCTGATGCAAGTCTGCTTGCTCCATGGAGTACGCGTGAAGGCCTTCCATAGAATCCTTGTCTGATAGTGTTCTTAGCTTTCCTCTTTCCTCCCACCACTGAGCCTTCCAAATCAAAAATGCCAATGTTCTTCTCATTTCCTCCCGAACGAGAAGAACCTCCTCATTTGCCCTATTTGCTCTCGCTCTGCTCTTCGCCCACTCAGATCGTAGGATATCATCCTCTGCCTCCTCCTCCCCAATTGCGAAGCCCTCCACGCGCCATATCCATGACAAAGTGCGACGCGTCTCCCCCGTTCCACCGTGTGGGCCTCGAGCTTCCCTCATGAGATCAATTCCAGGCCCCAGGGTGTCTGGTATGACCAATGTTCCTGGATCCTCCGCCCCAACGCCTGTGTCCTCCACTGTACCTCTCCTTCCCATGGTTACCCGCATCTTCTCTGGGTCGCTATATGCACGAATGTCGGAATCCAGAAGTACACGAAGGGTCTTCTCCCAGGCCCCTGGGCCAGAGAGGGAAAGCTTTGCCAATCTGGCCAGCCGATACTTCGACGCGGAAGCCCTAGCACGAGCATGCACCCGGTCGATAACCGAACGGGATCGCGTGCCCTCCCTCTGGCCTCTAACGTTTTTGTGCTTGAACAGGACCATCCGACTTTTAACGCGGAGGATATGTCGTAGGCTTTCCAATGCATCACTGCACTGGGCAGTCCGCAACTTCTCCTCGATGGCGATCAGGCGAGGGCTGCAGATGGATTTTCGGGCGCTGGGAGAGAGGGAGGAGGGGAGCCAGAGGTCGATTTGTTCCGGGTGATTGGACGTAGGCGGCTGTTTGAATCCCTCTGCTCTTGTGGCGCCGGGACTTTGTTCCTGCTCCATCTGCAGCCGCTGAAGGCCCGGCATATACACCCCTCGAATCTGCTCCCAGTGCTTAATCTTTGCACGCAACACGTTACGCATTTCCGTCAAGGAAGCAGCTTGCCCCGAAGTCCCACCCTTTTCTCGTGTTTTCGCCAGCTCGCAAAGTCTTCGCCTATTTGAAAATTAGTTCGGCGTTATAAAAAGGGAGTCGCGCGAACGTACTGAGAATCCTCCAGCTCCAAAGCCAAAACCATGAAGGAAGCCATACTAGTGGAGTGGAGACCTGCTTCTCCACCTTTCAATAAGCTCTCCTCCTCCTCCTCAGCCAGCTCCTTCCTAATTTCAGCCTCTGTCAAGCCTATTCAAAAAGGAAAGTCAGAAAGGCAAGAGAAATTGATGATCAGGACGCACAGAGCCCACGGGTCAAAAAGGGGTTAGCAGCCTGCTTGGGGTACATTGCCCTATCCCATTCCTCACACATCCTCTCCCACTCCGAAGATAGTTCTTTGGGGAGCGTGTTAGTAAATCCGCGATGGCCTTCAACCTGAACGTTCCTCTGTCGGATTGCAGTCGTATACTTTTTCATCAAAGTTTTGCCTGTGCCAGACGATTAGTAGTGCAATAATACATTTTTAAAACTGCTTACCCATGCCGCAGTACTTCAACCAGTTCCAGAAACCAAAGTGGTCGTCGATAACATCTTGACGTGATCCCGGACCTTGCGTCTTGGTGGCATTCCCAAGTGCATTATTTGCAGCCCATATCCTCTCACAGCCCTCCCCATCCGTCAGCCCCATTCCCAACGAGAGCTTGAAGGAGTACTCTTGATGCCCCACCTGTCCATGGCCGGGCTCGTGGAAGGCGGGAATTTGTGGGCGCATTTCGAGCGGTGAGGCTGGCAGAAGCTCCTTAGGCCAGTGGTTGTTCATCCTTGTATGAAGGTTTTTGAACCATTGGCACGCGATGTCGTAGCTGATGACGACAGGTATATTTGGGGAAGCGTTGCGAATGGCCGTGCCGAATATGTAGTCCATGTTGGCGTATCTATAAACTGTTAGCCGTTTGATGAAGGAGATGGACAAGGCCACGTACCTCTCGCCCTTTTGCAGATTCCCAACGCAGCTTGGAAGCACCATCTCTGATCGGGCGCACGAAACAGCCCCCACGCCTGTGAACCTGAGCCCCTTCGAAAACTTGGAGTTCGCCTTCGCCAAAGCTTGAAAGCCCACACACGTACTGATCTGAGCAAATCGTTAGGGCTTAACGGCGGCGGAATCAGGTGAAAACTTACGTCTTGATCACTTGCCCGAGACAACACATATGCCTCGTATCCTTCGCGTGGCACCATGTATGCCATTCCGATTCCCAGGCCAGGATCGTTTGAGAACGATGAAACCAATTGGTTCTTGAGACGAAAGTTGGCGTCCATGGAATAGATTAAATTGTACAGAAACCTGCAAGGTATTAGAACGGCCCTCGTTGTAAAACGTTGAACCTACTTGAGGGAATCCGGCGACTTCTCCCAGCCCTCAGGAAGGTTTATTCCTGGCCTTGGACAATGGGGGCAACTCAGTCCCAAATCGCCTGGGTTTACTCCTGCAACCCCCACAGGGTCATGACAAACCCCCCCCCTCTTCAACATCTTGAGGTGCCGAAATTGCAGGACCATCCGTAGAAGTGGTCGATACCTCGATTTCGGCACGTTGAGCCCTGTGTTGCTCGTCAACTTCTCCAGCGTCCGGTAAAAGTCGTATGTCGAACCCTTGGTGGTCAGCGCAAGTAGGTGGAGTAGCTGCAAAAGGTTGAAGGAGGCACATGTCTTTGGAATTTTCTGACTCGCAGGATACAGCCCGCGGCGAAGAAGCTGAATGTGCTTGGGTACGGAACGTTCGCAGCCGCAGTAGTCGAACGCCACGTCGTGGATGCCATTCGTGTGGAGAACTCGAAGATCAGTGTGGCAGGGTTCAGCGTTTTTGCACAGTGATCGAGCATGGTTCAGCTGCATGCGAAGCCCAAGGCTCTTGAGGGTTACAACGGTGAAGAAAGCTCCGTTCCACTTCTATTGCAATCAGAAAGTCAGCGCCCGCCATGGCTAAAGGGTGAGCCAGACAAACCTTTATTCGATGAAACGGCAGATGACGGTGCCGTCTAGCGCAACAAGAGCCGCACACGAGATCGGGGAAGAAGCAGTCGGTACAGCGGTGGTCGGGGGAGCCTGGGGTGACAGCCCTCCCAGCCAGACAATCTGGACAAGACCTTTCCCGTCGGAAATCTCCTCGGCCCTCCCTTCGAAGAAATTCATCGAGGTACTCTGTCCGATACCTTTCTTTCCATATGACATGTGGGCGCTTCTGATAAGTCATTAGCCCCCCAACACCAAACCATGATGTCGAACAGCTTACTGAAAGTCTACTTCGTGCTTTCCTTTTCTTTTTGTTGATCTCTGGCGGCATCCTGTCCTCAGCCATAACGTCCCCCTCCATCGCTTCATCATACCACTCTGATCCTGGGTCCAATCCTACTTCGTTGTTGTCCTCTGGCGCCCAAGAGTCCGAAGGAACCCACGCCAACTCCCCCGTTTGTGCCGCACGCCGAGTTTCGGAGACTAGTCGACGAGAGGCGTTGAACTGAGTGGCACGGGAATGTATAACATCCAAATCGTCGTCGAGAACCAGACGGTCGTGGTAAGCGCCGATCCTTTGGCGCTTAGAAGAACGGACGCTTCCGTCCGGGTTTCGACCAGCATTGAAGCGTGCAGTGTTGGCCATTCTAAGTAGATCTGTAAGTAAGTCTTCCACTGTCAGTATTACAAATTACACGTTCACGTGCTTCACGTGAATTCCACAAGCATCACACGAATTCAACAGGACCGTGTCACGATTCCACGAGCATCTTCACGCGAATCCAACAGGATCGTTCTTCAACTTCGCGATTTTACGCGTTGCGACGCCGCATTGACCCAGTAAGCCCTTTATATTTCTTTTTCACCCCCTTGCCTGGCCAGTTCGAGTGGATACTCCGAGCCCAGGGAATCTACTTCGGACTGGGCATTCTCTACCTCATGAATGACGGCGGGTACTCCGAGCCCGGGGAATCTGCTTGATTTTGTAAGGCCTTTTCCTCTCGCCACCGCCCCCTTTTTTTGGAGCATCCTATGAACAAAATTGATTTCTCTACAGGTCTAATGTCGTACAACACAACTGTTCTAGCCTGCAACAACCTCTGTCTTCCACAACTCCTGCTCGACAGCATTAAGCTTGAAGATGGATTGACTTACTTATTCAGTGGCTCCCCTCTAACCTCTCAAGCATCCTCGCCCCTCTCGACCCCGCCGGCGTCTCCAACATCCTCGCCACACCTGCTCGCCTTGCCTTCTGAGGCCTCACCGCACCAGCTCGCCTTCCCTTCTGAGGCCAACGACGACGACGTGCCTCTGCTGTCTATGCCACCAGCCCAGTTGGATCCACCACTACAAACGGATCCACCACGCCGCACAACACGTGCAAAGCAGCGAAGTCATTCCAATCGCAAGAATAAAAGGAAGATGGAGAGAGAAGCTGCCAGGCTCGAAAGCAAGGGTCGAAAAGAAACGTACAAAGCCCGTTCCTCCACGGTGAAGAAGCATATCAAACCCGCCAACCCTTATGAAACACAGTTTGACACCACAACCATCCCCATTGCCTCTTCGGGGTACGTTTCAGTCCCCGGGCGAAAATCCTCCTCCACATTCCCCCTCAAGAAGCTTGTGGGTCCTGATTCGCGGTTTAAGATGGAGAAAGTCGTTTGGGATGGCAAGTAAGTCCTTCTGCCTCTCTATTTCAGCAATCGCTCCAACGTATGATGTGGCAGGCACTCCATTCCCATTGTTGACAAAGACAGTCGAATCTTTGGGCTTTGCGCGGGTGCTGACGCGTCTGACTGGAACGAAGTACATCGGTCTGCTTCGATTGCTTTGGAGGATGCCCGCAGTCGACTGTCTTTGGGGAAAACGGACCGGAGGCATAGGCGGGGACGCTTCGTTGCATGAAACATCGGTATCTCACACGGGGGTGGTCAAACTCAGCCCATGGTATTGCGACACGATTCACCTGATGAAGAAATCCTCTCGGGACTTCTGAAGCACCCTTCGTTTGTACGAATGGCTGGGCATGCATCAGGTAGGAACCCAAACGTCTTGTTCTTTTTTCTGTACTCATAACGGCCAGGCATCTTTGGTACCTGGGCACCCAAGATGCACGCATACTACGCAGACCACCTTCACCGCCTCATGGACCATGACAAGACCCTCACTCGGAACTTTGAGAACAGCATCTTTTCAGCATGCGCCTTCAACTTTGGCCCACAAACCGTATGCTACCGGCACCGCGATCACGCCAACCTCCCATTTGGCTGGTGTGGCATCACCGCGCTTGGTAACTACGACTACAAATTGGGTGGGCATTTGATCCTTTGGGACCTCGGCCTGGTCATTGAGTTCCCACCTGGATCAACAATATTCATTCCCTCAGCCGCGCTAGAGCATTCAAACGCCTCCATTCAGAAGCATGAACGCCGGTATTCGTTTACGCAGTATACGTCAGGTGGAACATTCCGATGGGTTGACTATGGCTTTCAGAAGGCTGACGTCTACCTGGTGTCACTTTCAGAGGAGGGACGCCAGGCAGCCGCTCAGGAAGGTCGTGATAGACTAGCTTTTGGTCTCTCACTTTTCTCCACCCTTGACGAACTCCAGTAGGCCATACATAGATATCTTTTTTGTACCATTTTGTACATAGAAAACAGAAGATGCAACTTTACCAATGACTTGCCAGTGAACCTGAGCTTGACTGAGAGGATATATTAGTGTTTTGCATCATAGATGGACCGTTAAGGAGAGTCAATGCTAGAAGGACTAACGAAGTACATCGACGTGACGCGAGATTCTTGAGTGAGTGACTCTAACTCTTTTAACCAAACTTATCACATTGACTAGAAAGTTACATAGTCACTTTTACTAGACGATGAAAAGGTGTAAATAAGTAGTATTACATGGAGTTATTGTCTACTTCTCTATCTTCTAAGGGAGTAGCATGAAGTCCTCGCAAAATCACTGGATATCTCGCGAAATCACTGGATATCTCGCAAAGTCACTTTGCGAAATGTTGCGAAAACCCTGGAGCTTGAGATCTGAACTCAATCTCGGAAAACTTCTGCATGGTCCCCTCGCCGGCGGGGTTATCAGACAAGAACTTCTGCATGGTGCCCTTGCCGGATGGGGTTATCAGACAGGGAATCTGCAAAGTCACTTGGACTCACCCGGACCCTTTTGACCAATTTAACATATATTGTGATATATATTGCTCTGATCAAAAGGGAACAGTGACCGCGCTCCAGAAACAGACATGGGTAAGGCAGCCCATCCCCAGCACAAAGATCATTGTGCAGTTTATTATTATCGGTGAGCCGTACCCAATGGTCTAGATAGCTCTCGTTGAAGTCATTGATAACATGCAGGAACCAAGAGACTTTACAGAGAAAAGCTCGTGAAAGGGCTCAACGGTGCGTCCAGCCCTGGCACTTGGGGAATGGGTTAAAGCGACTCACCGGCCGCTCAAAGCTTAAAGGAGTACCGGCAAGCAAATGAGACACCAGATGAAGCTAACGCCAGGAAAGCAAGACACAGAGAAGCGGCGGCCAAGTACCGAACATCTCACAGGGCACAGATAAATTTTCGGGCGTGGCAGCGAGATCCCAAGTAAGTTGGACCATCTTGCCATGATCAAATTTGACAGTGTTTCTTAGGAATGCCGAAAAAATGCGTGTGTCAGAGGAGTTACTCGCCCCAATCCTGGCCGCCATGGACGGTGCTATTGCAGGGGTTGATGGCGGACGCTCAGATGCAGAGGTTGAAATCGGGCATTCAGATGGCAGCAAATAGGCTAGTGGATCACCAGGTCTAGGCACGTAGTTGAGGCGATATTAGTTGAGGCGATATTCACATCAAGCCCTGGGGATTTTGCCAATTGGCAAAATAACACAGGGGCTGAAACGTTTGGAGTTGCCCCTTTGGAATTTTATAAGTCCCAAAAAAAATTTATTGAGTCAAAAGACAGAGCACAGCCTGCACAGGCATCTAGTAGTTTCAAACGGCAGTCAGGTTAGAAAAAGGAAATCATAACCGCAATTCGCCATTGGATCAGAATTCTTTGAGTTGGGTGAGATCTACGAACGCGTGTTAGATGGAGGCTTACCAAATGTGTAGACGGCTTGCGCGAACGAGGATCTCTTCATCAGAATCAGCAAACACCCATGCGTCGTCTTGTTCGTCTCCGTCGGCCGATCCAGACTCCCATTCGCCGCTGGAATTGGGCTGGTCTTCAAAAAACTGGTTGATAGGAACGTCGAAAGGGCCCCCCGGAATGGGGATAGCCTCCAGGGTTCCGGTAGTATACGCGTGCCTGTAGACGTCTAAGGCGGCTTTGAAATCGGAGAACTTTTGTAGAATAGATTGAATGCGTCCATTTTTAGCAGGAAGCTTTTGTACCCGAATGGCGGCGTCATGCCTGGAGATAACTAGGGCGTCAGGACGGACCATGGGTAAGCGATATGTGGATTCGTTACCAAGCCGCAAACAGTCCAACCTCCTCGCCTTTGGTAATCACGTAGACGGCGTTAGGAAATTCGGACTCTCTTCCCACAAATTCGTTGGGGTGCGGAATGTAATAGATGGGCTGGAAATCCGTGCTGGCCCTCGCGCGATCGTTATCCACTGCGTTGCTGCCCGGACCTTTGGCCTTCATCACCTCTGGGGCTTTCGAAGGTTCAGCCCTGCGAGCGTCCCTGGGGGCAAATGTTGGGGCAGGTGAGGCGGTGGGCAGATGGAGCTTGACGGTGTGCTTCGTCTTGATGACGATTTCTGCGCCACGGCCTCCAACGAAGGGGTCCGCATTGGCTAAATGGGTACATTATTCACGAGGGAGCAAGCCGTCAGCTGAGGGAGGGCTCACCATCGGCGACGGCGCCTGAGACTCGCGTTGCTTTGCGCACTTGTGTTGGAGGAGGGAGGCGCATTGCCTGACCAGAGGTTGGGGGGGTTCGAAGCATCAGACCGGCGCCAGATGAAACATAATGGCCTTGAGAGGTCATTGGTTAGATTCTTTTTACAAGGGGCGATATTACCGACCATTGAAGTGGGTGGTGATCTCCGTGCCCTGCTTCTTGGGAGTCAGAGGCGCCGAGGTGATGGAGGGCGAAAACGTCGATGTGGAGTCGACGGTAGACGACAGCGAAGAAACGGTAGACAGAGTCGACGGCCTGGTGGGAGTCGACGACCTGGTGGATGATTTCTTGGAAGGCCACCTCATTGCTGCTTGTGGGAATGGAATTGGGGCGTAATCTTTATAGTATCAAATCAGCACTGGGAATCTAGACATGAGAGCGTGGACTTACTGGGGCGACGTTGCCCTAACTTCACCCTTTGCCAAATGAACAAAAGGATCGCGGCCGGTTGTGCGGAATGGTCATCTGAGTCGATCTCTATAGAATGAATTAGCACCAAAAAAGTAGATGATGAAATCTGGTGACTTACACGCGAATCTGACCTCAGTTTCTTCAGGACCCTCGATCTAGCATCGCACAAACAACAGGATTCTTCCCAGTGCGGATAGCCCTGAATGCATCCGTCAACGCAAGGAAACTTGGTAAACCCAGGATCCCGTTGTGTGCCCTGCCAGCAATTGGAATAAAATGCGAAGAGAAAATTGGCTGACCTTTCGTTCTGGTCACCCTCACCTGGTGCGCATCATCAGCGTAAACGAAGGCGAGCGTTCAGCTTACATCCTGATTGATAGTCCACTTACCTGACCTCACACAGATGCCTAATCCCGGAGGCTTCGCCGGTAGCCGCTTGAAGTTCCTGGAGAACGAGTTGCCCGAGTATACGAAGGCAGTCGCCAACAACCGAGACGGCGACTTCCTCTTGGACCTCCTGCGACGATTCTTCAAACGTTATCCAATGGAACTGGAAGACAACGTGGAGCCAACAGAAGAGACGCTCGCAAGTGTGAACGACGAGGAGCCAGACGAGGAGCCAGCACAAGTGGCTACCACCTTTATCATAAAACTAAGGCACTTGCCTGTAGAGCTGTGTGTATAAGTCCACAAGTTTTATGAAAGGCCTTTCATAGGTGTGTCCTGTGTCTTTCTTTCTCATAAAGGCTATGTTCTTCTCATAAGATATAGGCAAGGCCAAAGAGTGCTTTTCATAATTAAACCTGTGCGCTTTCAATAGGTATTTCATTCACTGGGTTAGGTGTATTCATTGCCTTTTTCATAATTAATGGTGTACACTTTCATTGAATATTTCATTAGGAATTTTGGGTGCTTTCATTGCTTTTTTCATAATTAATCCTGTGTGATTTCAATAAATATTTCATTCACTATGTTAGGTGTATTCAATGCCTCTATCATATCTAATGGTGTGCGCTTTCATTGAATATTTCATTAGGAATATTGGATGCTTTCATTGTACTTTTCATAATTAATGTTGTGCAATTTCAATAAATATCTCATTCCCTAGGTCAGGTGTATTCATTGCCTCTTTCATATTTAATGGTGTGCGCTTTCATTGAATATTTCATTAGGAATATTGGATGCTTTCATTGTACTTTTCATAATTAATGTTGTGCAATTTCAATAAATATCTCATTCCCTAGGTCAGGTGTATTCATTGCCTCTTTCATAATTAATGCTGTGCGCTTTCATTGAATATTTCATTATCAATTCTGGGTGCTTTCATTGTGCATTTCAATAAATATTTCATTAGCTAGGTTATATGTATTCATTGCTTCTTTCATAATTAATGATGTGCACTTTCATTGAATATTCCACAGCTTTCATTGGGATTTTTCATTGAGTATCTCAATATTTCATTCCAATTTCATATCTGCCCCCAGGGATATCATTATGATTTTTCATTATATTCCATGATAGCAATGAAATAGCTATTACAGTCCATCCAATGGGTCATTGGGAGGGTGGTCACATGACAAATTTCCAAAAATGGTAAAAAAACAAAAGTTGTAGCTCTTTACCATAGCTTCCAGAATCAGTTGGAATTATGTCCTAAAGTGCTTCCATTGTGGAGATATAAGGTAAAAGGTTTTCAAAAGTGCCGTGTTTTTTTTTGTTTTTTGCATTTTTCTTCATGAAAAGAACACTAAACAACATGATTTCAACAGATTTAGAAAGCTAAGAGAAGGGGCTACAACTATTGTATCGTGGGAAATTTCTCCCAACAAGGAAGGTACATGCCCTAAAAGGGTAATTGACACTGACAGACTACAAAAGTAATTTATAGCCTACAAAGTTTACTAATAGACTACAAAAAAGACTACAAAAGTTGGACATAGACCACAAAGGTCAGACAAAGACTACAAAAATTAGTAGTGTCTGCTTTTCTCATTACAAAAGTAATAGTGTCCGCTTTTTGAGACTACAAAAATTAGTAGTGTCTGTTTTTTCAGACTACAATGGTTTGTAGTGTCCGCTTTTTGAGACTACAAAAGTTAGTAGTGTCTGCTTTTTCAGACTACAATGGTTTGTAGTGTCCGCTTTTTTCATTATAAAAGTTAATAGTGTCCACTTTTTGAGACTACAATGGTTTGTAGTGTCCGCTTTTTGAGACTACAAAAGTTAGTAGTGTCTGCTTTTTCAGACTACAATGGTTTGTAGAGTCCGCTTTGTTCATTATAAAAGTTAATAGTGTCCACTTTTTGAGACTACAATGGTTTGTAGTGTCCGCTTTTTTCATTACAAAAGTTAATTGTATTTGCCTTTTCAGACTACAATGGTTTGTAGTGTGTCCGCTTTTTTCATTACAAAAGTTAATTGTGTCCACTTTTCTGACATATAGTATGTAGTGTGGTTAACTATATATATATAGGTCATTGGGGATATGATTGAAGGATTGGGATGAGTTGACATTCTGCCACT